GAACAGCAAACTATCCAACACGGCGGTGGTCACGATGGGTGTTAGATTGTTCCTTGGGCTTAGAATTTGAAATTATTTTTTGAAACAGTTTTTGAAGCAATTTTTTGAAGTCAATTTTTGAAGCAGTTTTTGAAGCAGTTTTTTGAAGTCAATTTTTTGAAGTCAAATTTTTGATCCACAGTCTCTGGTGCAGTTCCTGGGGCTCAGAATTTGAAATTATTTTTTTGAAGCAATTTTTTGAAGTCAAGTTTTGATCCGCAGTCTCTGGTGCAATTCCTGGGGCTCAGAATTTGAAATTATTTTTATTTCAAGAAAGTCTGCATAAAAATAAGGCAGTTTCCAGTTTGGTAAAAAAATATGGCATTTTCGCGTTTGAAAAAAAGAATGGGGTTTTTTTCAGTCAAAACAAGGTAGATCCATCTCAATGGTGCCCTTCACTTTCGTATTCCTGACGACATTCTCAATAATGACCTAGCGACTCCTCGTGGCCGTTCCCAATCGCGTGGCCATACTCCTGGCACTATTCGGTCTCACACTCCTGGCCGCGACTACACTGAAGTCGAGATGACAGCCTACATTCATCGTATCAAGACCGATAAGGCATACACTCGTGCCCGTGCCGTTCTTTTCAACTCCCTCTCTCGAGAACTGCGTCTATCGCTCAAATCTAAGGCTCTTCTTCAAGACCCCTGGGTCCTTCTTCGTTCGCTTGTGACTCAGTACCGCTACACGTCCAAGAAGATATCCAACCCTATCAACCTCGCCTATCTCCATGCCTTTAAGCGTTAAGACGATGAAATCATGCGCGTCTGGGCCCAACGCTGTTGGCAATTCCGTGAAGATGCTGATGATCAAGGATTTACCTTTCCCATGGCCTTCGTCCAGGACGTCTTTATTTCTGGCTTATCTCAATCTGACCAGGATGAAGCACGCCGACTCCTTGTTTCCGCTGGTCAACGTGGTACTGCTGATTACTCCACTCTGCATTTGACTTCACTTGGAAAACTGGCACCAGTCTTAACCCGAATGGAACATCTCAGAGACACCTCGTGCAGCCGCTATTCGTCGTCACACGGCCTCGGTTCTTGAACAACACCAAGCCGAACCTGCCTACTTCGAGCAATACCCATCTTCGGCCCTTGATCCTATCCCAGCTCCCCAGGATATTTGTGACAAATTCATCGCTCAGGTTTCCGGAAAGCCTCGCACTCCCACTGCTCCGCCTTCTGTTCCTCCCCAGCATCGTCGTCCCAAAGCTAGTCAAAATGCTTGTTTCATTTGCTGGGACCCTGCTCACAAGGCCCCTACATGCCCCAAAGCATGTGGACGATGCGGTCAAAAGGGGCACATGAGTGTTGCATGCACATCTGGGTTTGTTTCCTGCACAGGCTGTAAGATAACTGGTCACGTCGCTAACGTCTGCTCTCAGCGATCCAATAAACAGAACTTCGTCTATACTCAGTTTGTTGCTCATGTCACTGTTCCTATTTCTTTTAATCAAGCCGAAAACACTGCGCTTCTAATTTATACTGGCGCCTCTGTCAATCTTGTCAATACCACTCTCACACCTCTTCTTACCAAAATCGAACATGGTAAATTTCCTCTGCACCTTGCGCTGCACCTCGCGGATAATACTTAGATTGTTCTTCTTCAACGTGGTATCCTTCCTCACCTTGGCCTCAGCTACATCTGTCCCGGGCTCTCTGACTCCATCGTTGCTCAAACCAATTTGCAAGAGAATGGGTTTGCTCTTGAGTGCCCTGCCTGAACCCAGAATTCCACATATCTCACACTGGGTCTCACCGTACCATCACTCGTGCTCGGGGTGGTTAATATACCACTTTTGTCGATCTCACCCGACTCCGCACCGATCCTCCTGCAGTCAAGTGCACTACTATGACCTCCCCTGGCACTTCTGTCTCTCCAATCACCTCTCTTACTCCTCATCCTGCTACTGGTCCTCCACCACGCACCATGTCCTATGACGAATACCATCGTAATAATGCTCACAGAAGCCGTGTTTCTACTCTTAAGCAGGCCCGCAAGGAGAATATTACACTCGCGCATACGCCTCCCCCTGGCGTTGCTACAGACAATTACCAGCTCAACCCTACCCTCTGGTCCGAAGCCATGGCATTTCTCAACCACACTCCGACTATAGACCTTTGTGCACCCAGCATTAATACTCAGCTTCCACGATTTGTCGGTCCCGACGGTGGCATATGCGATGACTTCCGCAAAGTAAACTTCTTACTGAAGAAGGCCTCTATGCCAACCCTAAGTGGTAGGACATTACGGACATAACCCGTCAGAACATTAGGGCTGACACTCTGCTAGCCATTGTTATGCCACTTCGCCCCTGCAATCCTTGGTGGCGCCTGATCCTCTCCCGCATTCAATGTCAGCCATTCATCATTCGCAACACATCGACAACGTTCATTCAGCATGGTACTCGCACTCTTGGCCGTCCCTCCTGAATGTTCACTATCGTCGCCTTAACTGACCCGTTGCGTACAGCTGTTCGCCCTGCCACAGATCTCCGCGCTGCTATCGCTTTCGCGACATCACATCCAGAGTATATCAAGCATTGTACTATTTGGCTTTCCGGTAAAATGCGTCGCAAACCAGTCCCTCACTGTACTTCTGACACGCCTTACGGCCCTGCCGAGCAGTTTCACGCCGACATGCAGGGTCCTGTGCCTGAAGACCGGTTCGGCAACACCTATGCCCTGAACATGGTTTGTGATGGTACGCAATTTGGCCTACCAAACCCCTCAAATCTAAGAAGAATTTCTCCGACCATGTCCTTAGCTTATTGCTTCGTGTTCCTATTAATAAACCTCACACCCTTGTAGCAGACGGTGACTCGGTGTTTAAAAGCGCTCCTACCAAGGCTATGCTGCTCTCACGCCACATGACCCACCATACGACACTCGCGTACACCCCTCAGCTTAATGGGAAGGTCGAACGGGCACATGACGCTCTCAATGTGCTTGTTCACACTCTTCTTCTTGACTCTGGTCAGCCACTCCCCCTCTGGCCTCTTGCCCTGGCCTGGGCTTACGTCATTCAAAATGAAAATCTCACGTCGAACGACCCGGTTCTGACCCCTTCTGATAAATGGCACCACCGTATGGTCAAACGCATCCCCGAGGCGAGATATGACTGTGTCGTAGCTTACAGGATCGAAGGACCGGCGCATAAATCCACCCACAAATATGCACCCCATTGCTATTACAGGGTCTTTCTTGGCCGTGCTACTAACAGCACCCCCGACACGTAGGTTGTCCAATCATTCCATACACAAGAGATTATAAACACTCGTAATCTTAAGTTCTTCTCCGCGGAACGTCCGCAGTGGTCGGCCGACGGTAAACGCTGCTCATGTACATTGACACCGTCTACAATTGATATTCCCGTCTCCTGGTATACACACCCATCCGCGACGACCGCTATCATCCCATTTATCTACCCGGCATTACCACCCCCTCCCCAGCCACTTGCCGTCCTTCTTGTGCCCCCTGCACTTTTGGCAACCCTTCTTCCTATCCCTCCGGTCCTGGATGCAATCCCTCTCCCTACCACTTTCGCCGATGTTACTCGCCGACCACCCATCTCTCGTTCCTCAATTCCCTCGCCCCCTCAAGCAATTCATATCCCTTCGTTTCCCTTCCTCCGGCCATCCCTATTCCCCAGCGTGCACCCTCTCGCCCGGTTTCATCACGACATTCCTCTCCACAATCTCCCCGGGTACACGCTCTAACAACTACTTCTTCTCACAATCCTTCTCCAGGTATCACTCGTCTTGAACACATGGCCAATACGACATATCACTTCCGAAGAGTCTGGGCCAAGCCCAAAATTCTTCTGTCTGGCCTGATTGGCAGGCCGCTATTCTGAAAGAACATCGTGCACACATCGCGAACGACCCTTATGATCTCGTCCCTGACTCCGATGTTCCTCCCGATACGAAAGTGATTCACAGCAAATTTGTCCTTACCGTAAGTAACGAAAACGGGGTCCAGACGTCTCGAGACCTATACCACCGCCGTTTCTACCACTACTGCTCGTACTTTCATTGCACACGCTGCTTCCGAAGGCCTTGTCACCCACCATTTTGACGTCGATATTGCCTTCCTATATTCGGTCTTTGACACCGTTGTCTATTTGAAACCCCCAAAGGCCAGCGTTGATTTGGGTCTCTATCCTCCCCACACCACCCTGAGGCTCAAGAAAGGTCTCTATGGGCTTGAATAAGCCGGACGCTTGCGGAACCACGACATTGGCTCTAAGCTAGTTGGCCTCAATTTTCCACAAAGACCGGCAGATGAACGTATCTATACTCACAACACGAGGAATATGCGTGTTGTTCTCTACGTTGACGAAGTTGCTCCAGCTGTCCTGAAAACGTCTGATGACGCCCAGTGGCTCTTACTTGAATTATCGCGCTTCTATTCTCTCACAGATCTTGGCTTGACTCGTCATCTCATAGGTCTACGTATTTCGCAGCACTCTTCTGGCGCTATCACTATCGACCAGCAGGCATATATTTCTCACATGGTTCATACATCGACATTGAGGACGACTTCCCACGTCACACTCCGGGCAATGGCATTCATCCTGCTGCCCTTGTCGACTCCCCTGCCTTCCGTGACAAATACCGTCAGCTCCTTGGAGCTCTTGGCTTTGCTGTCAGTATGACTCGTGTTGACATTG